TATATATATATATATATATATATATATATATCTGTAGTACGTGAGGCTAGTTGTCAGTTTTTAACCCAGCTATTTTTTTTATGATTTATTTATTTAAAATGTGTCTTTCTGTATAATGTCATAAATTAAAGTCTTAGTTTACAGAATTATTGTCTAGAACAAAGATACAATTCATTGAACACACCTGCTGTGACAACATTCTCTGCTGTTGGGGCATGTTGTCACTATACGGGGTAAGTTGTCACAATGCAACCTGTCAGACTGTAAAAAATCTAAAAGGTAACATTCAAAAATACATACATGTGACAACTTCCTTGGGACATTTATGAAAATATCCCAATGTGACAACTAGCCCCACTCTCCTTTATAATGCATAATAATGTTATTTATTCCTATGAAATTATTATTATTATTATTATTATTATTATTATTTGAATCCTTATCCAAATAATCAGAAATGACTGAAGAAGTCATGGAAATTATTTGGTCAAAATATGTGGGAACCCTGTAATGTAATTAACGATTATATTCTGAATCTAGTTGTTCCCCAATAATCCCTGCTCAGTCCTACAGCACTTATGATGAAAGTTTTGATCTGTATTTATCTTGGATTTTTCCGTGCACTGGGGGAATGTTTTTAATGTTTTTACACAGGGAACAAACAGATTGGACTTTCACAAAGTAACCATCCGAGTCACTTTCTTATGATGGCTACTTGTTTTTGTTCTTTGATAAATGTGCCAACATGATTATTTTAGCAGAATTTTAGCGTTTTAGAAGCATTTTAAGTGTAATGAAGTATAATATCCTAACTGGAGTTTGTATAGTAGTATTTTCGACAATTGAACACACATGCTGGTCATTTCTCTCATATTCAAAAGTAGGTCACAACCATGACTGTCAAGCAGATACTCATGTCACGTGCCTTTCTGTGTTTTACCGAGGCCATCCTTGATTTTCATTCACAAATGCAGATTTACATACCACCGTTACCACCTAAACTCAAACTATGAGAATACACAGAAGAGAAGAGCCGTATACTGACGGTTTGCACCCAAAAGGCCTTACTAATTGTGTTTGTTTTGGCATTTGAATTACAATGGGGCTTCATTAGAGCAAAGATCAATTCAGCATCTCCTCAGCCCAGCTCTTCCTTCTTTCAGGCTTGAGCAGCCAGCTTTAACTATATGTGTGCGTATGTCACATGCACTCGGCATGAGTAACAGACCCATAGTCTTTTCCTGGGAGAAGAGCCTAAGGCTCTATGAATGAGGGTTTTTGTTGTTTTTCCATAATGCTTTGCAACAGCAGCAACAATAGGCTGAGGCTATAGAGGATTCAAAGTTTACAGGTGCATCTCAATAAATTAGAATGTCATGGAAAAGTTCATTTATTTCAGTAATTCAACTCAAATTGTGAAACTTGTGTATTAAATAAATTCAATGCACACAGACTGAAGTAGTTTAAGTCTTTGGTTCTTTTAATTGTGATGATTTTGGCTCACATTTAACAAAAACCCACCAATTCACTATCTCAACAAATTAGAATACTTCATAAGACCAATAAAAAAAACATTTTTAGTGAATTGTTGGCCTTCTGGAAAGTATGTTAATTTACTGTACATGTACTCAATACTTGGTAGGGGCTCCTTTTGCTTTAATTACTGCCTCAATTCGGCGTGGCATGGAGGTGATCAGTTTGTGGCACTGCTGAGGTGGTATGGAAGCCCAGGTTTCTTTGACAGTGGCCTTCAGCTCATCTGCATTTTTTGGTCTCTTGTTTCTCATTTTCCTCTTGACAATACCCCATAGATTCTCTATGGGGTTCAGGTCTGGTGAGAACCAAAGACTTAAACTACTTCAGTCTGTGTGCATTGAATTTATTTAATACACGAGTTTCACAATTTGAGTTGAATTACTGAAATAAATGAACTTTTCCACGACATTCTAATTTATTGAGATGCACCTGTACATACGAGCTCTCACGTTAGACTTTAAACCATCAGGTTGCATTAGTGCAATATGGGATGGATAAAGACACATTAGCGTCAGCTAAAATTTAAAAGGCTGTATGTAACAAAAGCATTGTGTCTGGTTTGAGCACTAAGAAAGGATGACAATAAGTATAATTAAGTGTTTAAAGCTTAATTTAATAGATTAATTTAGCCCTTGATTTGGGGAGATGGATGATGATAAGGTGCTTATTTCTTTAGTCCTATCTATTAGTTAATTCAAAAATACATTAAAAATATCATTCAGAAATACAGTGACTTGAAGACACCTCTTGAATTAAAATTCATTTTGATATTTTTTGAGTGGCATGAAGAAGAAAAAATTCAGAGTGACAACTGTTTTGATATCGTAATTTACAAAAAAAGCATAATCTTATAATAGCAAGTAATCTTTTTTTTTTTTTAAAGATTTTAACAACCGCTTCACTGCTTTTTAATATTTGAAAAAAAAAAACTACATAGTAATGATTACAATATTTTGTAATATTTTTTATAACCTTTTAATGTTATTATATATATTTTTAATAATTTATAAATTATTTTACCTGATGATTAAGTCATTAAACTTTTTCTGGGTTTTTCAAAACCACATAAAACCAACATGAAAACAAAGAGTGCATTTCTAAGAACTTGACACGTTTTAAACTAGATTTTTCCTTCTCTTTATCGCGGACACTCACGTGTCATGGACCCTTTGTAAAACTGTCATCAGACACCGTACACTTTACATATGTCACTTTAAAGTAACAATTAATTCTATGGCACCACCTGTCGGGTGTCCTTTCTGAACAAGCTTTGTCATTATAAACCCACCCGTTATGTAATTTTTATCTCTTAGGTGGCAGCAGCCATTCTTCAACATTGGAAATCAGCCCTTGCATTTGATTGGTTGGTAGACCCTTTATCGAGTTGTTAACCCGTTGTTAACCCTTCTTCACCTACAGCTGGCCTCCCGCTTGCAGCGTTTAACCTGGGTAAAATCAAACCGTATCAGCGGGGCTTTTTCTGTAATGATGAGAGCATCAGCTATCCCTTCCACACCAGCACAGTCACCTCCACTGTGCTCTACACAGTGGGCTTCACACTTCCCATAAGTAGTGTAAGTAATCCTAGATAGCATCCACACAAGACATGCCCAGCGTCTTCCCTCACAAGTCTGTAGTGCGCTCAAGCTTGTTTTAAAGGATATTTGGCAATTCATCTTGAGAGTTTAATGGACTGTTGCAGTCACAGGAAGTGGCCCTTCATTCTGAATGAACAAACAAACAGACAAATAAACAGAGAAGAACAGCTGTTTCAACATGACTCCTGAGCACTGAACAGGTGCAAAATGCAATTTCAATAGAGCTTTATTAGGTGGATTGAAAGCAGCTGTTGAAGTCACTTCATCTGGGATTACATTAGACCGTCTAACATTGTCTACACTGGAAGAGACCACTGTCGCCCGAGGGATAGTACACCCAAAAATTACAATTGTCATCGCTTACACACCCTAATGTTGTTCCAAACACATAAGACCTTTGTTAATTCTCAAAACACAAATTAACTAAGTCAAATTAATTAATTAAAGTTACATTGATATAAAATATATATTTTATATATTTTTATATTTTGGATCCGAAAAAGATCCGATGCTGCTATATGATCCGTTGAACCACTAATACACACACACACACACACACACACACACACACATATATAGCTCTGTAGCATGCCAAAAATAGAAACCATCCCTCCGACTGAAAATGTGACAAGACGCTTCCATTATAGACTACAATCTAGTTGTGCAGATGGTGATGCACTGCATCTGTTTGATGTAGACACAGTGTCGGGATAGAAACATTTGGGCAGCTCTGTTGCACCCAGGCAGTGTTTTTGTTCCTTTGTGTAGGGATTCTCTGGGCATGTTGCTTTTCATTAACTTCTTCGGCAAGGATGTCCACCAAGTACAAGAAATTCCCTTAATAGCTGTTTTAGATTAGCTCAGATTTGAGGTATTTCGGGCTGGGAATGTATTTAAACGCACCCTCCTTCAATCTGCTCCTGCTGCTTTTTTTTTTAGAAGCAACTGCAAATTGGGCAGAGTTTGTGGTTTTCATCATGAGAGGATTATTGGGTTTACCAACTAAACCACAGAAACGTCCTGAATATATTTAGGAAGGGTCACTGTTTGGTCACATCTCAAGTACTGATGTTCAGGCGGCTTGCTTATTGGCATAGTTAATTGCATAAATATTTGTATCAAAACTGTTTTAACACAAACTTCGGCAAAAAAATCAATCTAGACCTGATGGAAGGCGTATCTAGTATATTGTGATCCATCTGGAATGTGATAAGAGTGGATAGTTGATATCTTCTGGAGCACAGATGGCATACTCTCAGGCCTGACAAAACCTCAAACTTCCCATAGTGCAAAATTTGGGTTTGACCTCTATGTAAGCAACCCTTAGCTTCCACTTGCCTGTCCGGTCCAGGCATCGTGCAAGTGATGATCGAAACAACCGATCCGTGCGGCGTTAACATTACACTAGTGTTCCTGAAGACTCTGAAATCCCATACATTCAGCCAGCACATCACAGACCATGACAATGCAGCTTTCACTGGAGATAGAGAGAAGATACGGTGTCATTTAAGGAGACTTCGGTTGGCGCTGGGTAACCTCCTGCTTTGATCCACATGGCTGATATTAGCTCTTAGCAGATTGAGCGGTTCATGGACTTTACACACACACACAAACATTTCAGCAGACCATATTCACTGCATGTTGGGTAAATGTCTTAATCCCTACCACATGCTTTGCTGCCACGCTTGAGTAACCTTCTTGTCCCCAACAGGCTTGTAAAGTTTTTGCTGGTGGCGTCTTACAACAGTTACCCTCCCTGCACCTTTGTGATGTTTATATTGCCACTTTAATGTTTCTAACTGTGGTGGAGCAGCATTCAATAGCTCTTTTATAACAAAATGGTGTGAAAAAAACATGGGAAATGCATTTTTTTAGAAACTATAAAGCCTTGTTCACACTGACCAAAATCGATGAGTTGACTATCCAGTATGGGTGTGTTCAGCAAATGTGGCGTCTACCAATGGAGTTTCCTGAAAAGTTAATGTTACTGTGAGTGTTTACAGTGTTCTATATGATTGGCAGAGACAGTGATATAATAAAATGACACAAAACCAGATGGAAAAAATTATGGAAAACCGTGTCAGCAACCTTGAGCAATAAAATCGTTGTCAGTTGTGAACAGGGCTTGAAAGACAGGGGAAAAAAGGATTTCACACCATTTGCTATATTTAAATATGCAGTTGTACTGTTAGTCATCGTTTTGACAAGATCTACTCGTCATCAGAGCGTGCCATTGAATCATTTGAGCTTTGACAAGTTCCACTTCCCATGTCGACTACAAAACACTGGAGAATGAAAAAAAAAAAAAGTACTTTAACAAGAATATCCTATACATTACTTAAACAAAGTGTAACTTTTAGCAAAATTCAGCCACAGCTGCCACACCACCTACTTGCTAACCCTTTGTTCATTACGTGTTAAAGAAGATTGAATGTCTGCCTATCTCACAGCTTTTCTTTCTGTATGAGCACCTCCCAGAGAACAACCTTTTCTTGAATTTGGGAGAATAGGGTATGAGACACTTCGTTAACCTGCTTTTTTTTTTTTCTCTCACTGCTTTTTTTGCTAGTTGGACTCCCATTTGCAATACTCACAATACAACAAAAATCATTCAAACGAGGATTTTTCTGTAATGATGACTCTATCAACTACCCATATAAAGAAGACACCATTTCTTATCAGTTATTAGGAGGAGTAATGATTCCTATAACTGTGCTTACTGTAAGTCCCCATCTGTTTGTTACACTAGCAGCTCTCACCCCCTTCCTGTATCTCTTTCCTTCTCTCATTATGCCTATATTTGTAGCATGCTTCTCTGGTCAGTACGTCTGTTCTCATGCCAGCTTGAGAAATAGGACTTTGAGATCTAACCACGAGATGCGGTCCTGTAGATCAGGGGTGCCCAAACTCGGTCCTAGAGAGCTGGTGTCCTGCAGAGTTTAGCTCCAACTTGCCTCAAAACGCCTGCCTGTAAGTTTCTAGTATGCCTAGTAAGAGCTTGATTAGCTGGTTCAGGTGTGTTTAATTGGGGTTGGAGCTAAACTCTTCTGGACACCGGCCCTCCAGGACTGAGTTTGGACACCCCTGCTGTAGATAGATGTTTAAAGGGATAGTTCACTCAAATCTGAACGATCTGTCATTATTTACTCACCTTTATGCTGTTCCAGACCTGTATGATATACTTTCTTCTGTTAAACACAAAAGGAGGTGCCTTGAAGAAATTTCATACTGTCATTACTGTCAAATTTCTTTTGAACTTCCACATATTCCAACTGCTGGACACATTTGTAATGAGAAGTTGTTAATTTATGCGCAAATTTAAATCTTGGAATATAGTCATATGGACTACTTTTATGGTACTTTTTGAGTCTTGCCAGTTTCTATGTGCTTTTAGTGTTGGAAAAGATTAACAGACATTCTTGAAAATTTCTCAAATTGTGTTCCTTAAAAGAAAAGAAGTCAAATGCATTGAAATGACATGGAAGTTAAAAATGTAAACGATTTTTTGGGGGGGGGTGAACTATTCCTTAAAAATGAAAATTTTAGCAGTATTTTAACTGATTTGAACAGCAGTCAACTCTTGTAACAGACCTTTTAAGAGACAACGCCAACCAATGGAGCGGAAACAATGTCTTCTGGTCTTCTACCCACATATATATTTTCTCATAAAAGCCCATATACTACAGACAGTCTTGTGGTGAGATGTTTAGACTAGAGTAGGAGTCTCTCTCTGTGGTTACATCTCATAACTGTTTCTTTAATGCAGGCTTTTTATCTTGTGTGATAGCATCTACAATTCAGCACTATCCTTTCAAGAGTTTTAGAAACATCATTTCATTTAAAATGTTTAAAATGAGCTTACCCCATTATGGATAACATTTCCTATATATATATACACAGACATACACATCAATATAACCTCACAGTCACCCATGTGAGCTCAAAGCACATATACCTCTGCCTAAATGTTATTAAAATGCTTGATTTAGGTTACTGCAAATGTATATTTTAAAACTGCAGCATTTTATGCATTCCAACTTGCATATTTTAGTAAAGCAAAAGAAAAAGGAAGAATTGTATCATTTTAATATATATTACTCAAGCTCTATAATTGATCATTGAGAGAGAGAAGTAGTCACTAGATCATAGTCAGTGTAGACACATACATTATGAGATTTAAAAAAAAAACATCAGAAGGAAAAGAAATCAAAGTCAAACATGGCTTGTGAAAACTAGACATGAACCAGGGATCTTACGACTTGTGGAATGAACTGTAGTTAATGTCAAAATATGGTGTATACTCTGATTAAGGCCATTAGGGATACCCTATAAAGCAGGTAATGCAAACATGGGTAACTGTGATGTTAGAGGCATTTCAGGGAAATACTTGTGATGGCTGCATTGTCAAGTGCTTCTACTGTTTGATCTTGATTTTATTCTTGTACTTGTGGACATCCTTATTAGATTCAGTAACAGTCCTCAAATATTTTCATATCACAAACACATGACTGGCTGTAAAAAATGTTTTGAACATCTTACCAGGAAAAAGAAAAGTAATGCTCCTTTGCTTCCTCTTCCATCACAGATGATCATAGGGGAGTGCCTTTCAGTCTATCTAAACCGCATCAAATCAAAGTCTTTCTGTAACAGTTATGTGGCCTGTGTCTATAAGGCCATTGGCACCTTCTTGTTTGGTGCCGCCATGAGCCAATCACTCACTGACATTGCCAAGTACTCCATCGGCCGGCTGCGGCCACACTTCCTGGATGTGTGCAAACCGGACTGGACGCAGAACAACTGCACAGGAGGGGCTTACATTGAGGACTTCATCTGCACTGGGGATCCAGCCAAGGTCAATGAGGGAAGGTAGGTAAAACTCCCTTATAGGTCACTAGTTGCTACTCTTTACCTTAACACAGGGGTGTCCAAACTAGCTTCTGGAGAGCCACTGTCCTGCAGAGTTTAGCTCTAGCCCTAACTCAGAGATGGTCCTCACTGCAGAACACAAGATCCAGGGGGCAAGGTTGGGTCCAGATCCAACTCCTCCCAAATTCCATATCCCTAAACCTACCCGTCTCCAACCCCTGATCCCTAAACCTACCCATCTCTGCCCCTAAACCTACCCATCTCTGCCCCTAAACCTACCCATCTCCACCCCTATACCTACCCGTCTCCACACCCTGATCCCTAAACCTACCCATCTCCACCCCTAAACCAAGAATTGGACACCCCTGCACTACTGGGTGTCCTGCTCTGGATGGATGGAAGAGTTGCAAGAAAGGTTTTTTCCTTGGGGTGGGAAGTAGGAATCCCTCAACTTTGTTCTTTAATGTGGTTCCATCCTGGAAACTTCCTACCCAATTTAGCCTGCCTCTGCATTCATTATTAGACAAGCTTGTCCCTCGAAATAACTTTGCTTCGGAACCTTTTCGGATAGGTGGATCTCATATGGAAATGAGGTGTGGATCTAGTGATTTACAGGAAAGTGTCCAAGTAGCAGAACCAGTTCTATTGTGACCTAAAGTGTGCCATAAGTACTTTATATCTGGCATTGAGAAGAAACTCGCTAATTAAAATGGAAATGAAGGCTTCTTCCAATGTGAACCCTTTTTGGATCAGTTGTCCACACCGTTGACCACCCAAGCTCTTGGTGGCAAGCTGTGGTTCACACGCAGTAGTGGTCTCTAATCTTGCAGTTAGCCGTTTCAGAGCACACAGGCTTTCTGTTTGGGTTCTTGGGCCAGACTCAAGGCCAGCAGTATCCCAGGCCCTCTCAGAATGCTCTCGTTTAACATGGGTGTGGTTCCCGTCTCTCTCTCTCTCGGAAGAGCACCTCTTTAGTGGTGGTCTAGTGTTTGCCTAGGAGATGATGCCATTTATAGAACAAATAAAGAGCAGTTGAGGGTCTGAGCCCAGAATAACCCAGATCACCTTTCACACAAGTGTTCTCCTCAGGAAAATGGAGTCTTGTTGATAGGCAAGCAAGTGTATTTGCTTGTTAAAGGGTGAGAGAGTCATCCAGGTCTAGTTCAAACAGTCCAGTCATAAATTATTTAAACATCAGAAGTAGGTCTTCAGTTCTTTGAATCAGTGTTGCCCTTTCGTTGAACTTTATCCACATGGAGTTTAGGCACACTCAGAATATGGTCTGTAGTGCTTTATTTTAGCTTCTCCACCGCACAGATAATTCGCTTTAGCTCTGCTTTGTCTCTTGTCTCATGACTGGGTCTGTAATTCAATCAGCAAACAAGAACATAAAGATCTAGTCCTCATTTTAATTAGCACACTGCCTAGATCTTGTTAAACTCTGCTTTTAAGTAGATTGATATGAAAGGAGCATGTTTGCAGTGGTTGAGTGTATGGCAGTTGTGCTGCTTGAATGATTCAAGTTTTATTTGGCGTCAGCCACTAGGCGGATGCTCCTAGTCAACAAGTGGCCTAAGCTTAAGTAAACAGGAACACACAAAAGCCTGCCGGATAGCCAGACCACCCTCCCTCTCTGACGCTTTCCGCGCTTCCCCTGCCCCGACCCCCATCGGTCAGCACGCGTCTCCCCCGAGCATGCCTTTATCATCAGGAAAAGGGTGCGTGTTTGTTCTTTTTAAAGGGAATGTTTTGTGGGACCAAATGGGACAATGCAAATCTTTGCCTAGCATGGGGTTCAGTGTTAGGATTCCATCATGCCAATTTGTCCAAGTAATTCTTAGTTTGTTTACAGATTTGCAAAACAAATGTCAGCTTTAAGTAAAGGCTTCATAGTGTTGCATAAATACATGTCTGCATGTAGTAAGTAATTAAGCAGCCCTTCTGTGTTGCCCACATTGATTCTTTGATTGTTTTTGTTGCAGACTCTCATTCTACTCGGGACACTCGTCATTCTCCATGTACTGTATGCTGTTCCTGGCAGTAAGTGTCATTTATTTATGCTTTACCCCAAGGGGATAGCCCAACTGAAATACAATATTCTTTTGTCATTTATGCTGCTTTCACATGCTATCGGAATTATCGTAAATACCAGTTTCCTAATCGGAAATTAGATGTGAATGCCTCTCAAGTCGTATTTACTACTGGGAAATTCTGAAATAATTTTGATACCAGAGTTTCCGAGTTGGGCGGGTCATAATCTTTAAACATGGTGGAGGGGACAACCATTGCTGCTGTCAATGCTGTTCTCACAACAACTAAATCCCTTTGTCTTGTTGCTAAAGTAGTATTTATTGGCTAGATATGAACGATCATTCGAAGCATATTGTATGTTTTATAAGCAGTGAAATAAACACGTATTTGACAGAAATTCCAGAATTGTAAGCAAACTGCATGTATAGCACGGTGAATGTTTATGATAGTCAACCAATGGGATGCTAAATTTTATTCTTTCCGATATTAAAGTACTTGAATACGACAAGCTCATAATCACAACTTCATAAGTGGGAAATAGGACATTTCTGATAGCACGTGAATGCAGCATTACTTACCCTCATGTCGTTCCAAACCTGTCTGAATTACTTTTTCGCTGTAAAAATTTATTTTCATACATTGAAAGTCAGTGGGGACCAATGTTGTTTTGGACCTTATTGACTTTTAGTTTATGAACAAACAGCTGATGTTTTGAAGAACTGATTCTTCTGTTATACTGTAGAAAAAGGAGTCATGAGGGCGAGCAAATAAGACACTTCATTTTGAGGTGAACTATCCCTTTGATTCACAATTTGTTCTTAAGTATTTAAGGTATTTTTGTACTGTATACAGTACTGATGTTCTTGAATAATCAGTTAACAAAGTTAACTACAATCAGCATTACATAAACTAATAACACACCGGAAGCACACTGGTCTGGTGAATACCATCAATGTTTTTAAGTGATAAGGAAATGGGATAAATGTCTGTAGATTTATACATTTTACTTCGTTGATTTCTCCATTGGAAAATGCCTATTATCTGTCACTCTGCGGTATATTGACTCAGCAGCAGAGTAATCTTAAGAAGACTTATGTCATTCTGCTGAACTTCTCCATTACAGCCTTGTTAGCAAACACAACCTACCATAATCTTATCATGAGGGCACAAGCTTTAAGGACATGTGGCTAAAGTTCACAGCACATTTGGACCCTGAAATAAACGCAGACGGAGTCAGTGTTCAGCAAAACTCAAACACTGATTTTATTTAATTTTTTTAACTGCTATCCTATCAAAATTATTTGATTCCTGATTCTGAAATAAACTGTTCAATTCAGATAAGAGTACAAACATTAACCAGATAAATATAACCTAGTAATGATTCTTGAGTTTGTGTGCTTTTAGAGGGGGTATTTTTAGGGACTCCCAATTATTTCTGGGAATCTTTGCCTAGCATGGAGTTGAGTGTTAGGATTTCTTCCCATCAGCTTGCCAAAGTAATTCTTTGTGTTTACAGAGATTCAAAACAAATGACAGCTTTGATTTTAGGATTTCATACTGTTGCACAAGCACACGTCTAACATGTAGTGGAAGTTAAACAGAGCTTGTTTTGCCCACATTGATTCCTTGTTGCAAACTATCCTTCTACTCGGGTCACTCCATCAAACCTTTAAATGGGTAATGATTTTGACAACAAGACCTGTAAGGTGATAGCATGATGACACCCAGCAGAGTGTCAACTCAATTAACTTCAGTTGGTTGCTTTAAAAGGAAGTCTCTACATTGTTGGGAATGTGGAGCGGTTGCCTGTGGCGGCTTTGACGCATCAAGCCAGAATTTTTGGTGCATTTCCTCAGGCATGAGATAACATGGAAAAACGAGCCACTTCGTAAACAGGAAGAATTAGGTAGCAGGGGATCTGTAATAACATGAAAACACTGTAGACACAATCACAGTGTACTGAAGTCAACACGACCGTGTGTTAGGGAGATCATCAGCTGAGTCACATGTGCGGTACGAGTTCAGCAGGCAGCATATTTGAAACCTCTCACATACAATGAGTTTGAACAGGCTTTTCCTTTCTCAAAGCTTTATCTTCAAGCAAGAATGCAAGCTGAATGGGCACGGCTCCTTCGCCCCATGCTCCAGTTCTTCCTGATCGCCGCCTCCATCTATACAGGACTGTCCCGTGTCTCAGACTATAAACACCACTGGAGTGATGTACTCACAGGACTTGTACAAGGAGCCGTCGTGGCTTTACTAGTGGTGAGTTATGCATTCAACAGCACACAGATCATGTATGCTTGCAGAAAGTCAGTGAATTCTGCTAATTTAAAGGAATTTCACCCAAAAATAAGTCAATTACTTGGCATTCCAAACCCATATGACTGTCTGGTGTTCATGGAATTATAGAATCAGTATTATTTTAACTATATAGTGTTCATCAGGATTACCTTTAGAACTAAAATTAAAATAATATTTTGTAAGTGCAAAAGTTATTTCAGTTCATGTTTATTTCAGCATGGCATCATTTCCTATTTTCTTTAACATTAACCTGAAGTACTAAAATTGAAATAAAAAGTAACAAGAACTTTATCTATAGACAGACACTTAAAAAAAAACACAATTTTATAATTTTAATACAAAAACAAAATATTAAAATCTTAGTCAAACTAATAGTATATCAAATGATACTAAACTAACACTGGTATTCATTCATATTTTACATTAGCTTACAATTTCAGTAAGTTTGTTTTTCATTTTAAGAATTCCATTTATTTTTTAATTTCAGTTTTAATCATTGGTACTTTTCTCCATTTAACTTTAATTTAATTTATATTTTAGCGTTATTTAAATAAAACAAAATATTTTAAGTTTGTTAACAGCACTCAACAGAATTGTGAACAGAACGTTTTAAATTTAGAGAATGATTTAAATGGAAAAATAATTGTCAGTCTGAAATTCTTCAGCTAAAGTCTAAAATTTCATTTACACCAAAAACAAGATCAGTGACAAATTTCTGGATTTTCCCCCTCCCATCAGCCCCAGTCCCTTTTAATGCACATTTGTTTATGTTCCACAAAAGTAATAAGTAGGGGTTTGAGTGACATACTTTCTGTTGTACAGTATAAGCAATAAAGTTGCTAAATATGAAAAACACTGACATTTCAGGCCAGCCCCTGTGACTATAAACCTCCAATATATCACCTCCTCTCACACCCTACAGGTTTTCTGCGTGTCGGATTTCTTCAAAAAGAAAGTTGAACCACAGAGAGAGGCAGAGATCCTACACACCACCTTACAAGAGACGCCTACGAATGGAAATCATTCTGAAAACCCAAACTAAACTATCACGAGCCTCTGTCGATGGGAAGGGGTTTCAGCGTGCACCCACTACGAGGGCAGACCACTGCGGTGGAAACCTGTGAATGTAACCTTGCTTTTGTTCTCCAGATGCCTCTTTCTGGGGCTCTCTCTATGGATGCTGTCCCACGCTGCCTTGGCTGGACTGCTTCTGCTGCTACCACAGCTTCCTCTGTATCTCCAAAAACTAATATAAGTGTACCTCTATTATGCCACAAAAGAAAAAACTTTTTTTATCTGTATTAAAAAATAAAAATCGCCATAGACTTTTTTTTAATTTTTATTAAAATTGTTAAAACTATGTACAAAATGTTGCGCTTTTATGATGGAAACAAAAACACATTATGCTCGTTGACAAACAAATAAAACAACTATGTTTCATTTAAATTCTGTCCTTCAGTGTTTCGATGCAAAATGAACAAAAAAAAAACTAAACAATAGCAAACACAGATTCACAGGTAAAGACTAGCAGCAAACACGATATCCCTCTTAATCTTCGTTATACCTGTGAAAAACAAGAAAATGTGTTTGAGTTGTAAAACAAAACCCTGTCAACCTCAAAGCTGTGTTCCAAAATCTAGTGTGCTGCCTAGCTAGACAGCACAAAGGCCGTTCCCTAAGTTATGATACCTCATTAACTGTTAGGTAATCTAATACTGCATAATTAGCAAAATGCTAACATCCAACTGTATTGGATTCAATTTTAACCTGTCCATTTGTTAGCAAATCAAATACTGTGTAATTAGCTTAGCAGCATGCTAACATTCAACTCTACTGGAATCCATTTTGACCCAAGTATTTGTTAGCTAATGAAATGCTGTATAAGTAGCTTAGCAAAATGCTAACATCCATCTCTATCAGAATCGATTTGTGTGTGTTTGTTAGCTAATCGAATACTGTGCAATTAGATTAGCAGCATACCAACAACAAAGTCGATTGGAATCAGTTTTGATCAATGTATTTTTATGCTTATTAAAACATGTTATTAGCTTAGCAACATGCTAAAGAGTCTCCCATGTGCTTCACGTGAGGAGCTTTCGTGCAGGATGCGTACTGTGTGGAAATGCATGAATGCTGATGCTTCTAGATTCACAAGCTTTTTTTTCATGCGTTGTTTCATTACAAAAAGTGTCAGCTGGCAAGTCGTAATGTAACAAGTATACGATGGAATGAGACAAATGTAAACTCTATGGTTTTCCCCCTGTGTGGTAATTATGAACAATTTAGTCGAAACGCACATTTTGTAGCTAGTTACTTGAATAACACCACATCTGATTTGATGGAACAGACATTTGAACGGAACTATAGCACCCCCTTGAGTACGGAGGTCTGTTATAGCAACATTAATGAAAAACGCAATCATTCAGACCACATACTACTTTCTGCCCTTAGAAGGCAGCTCACTAGGTTTTAAAGGGAAAAAACTAAACTGTTGCACTGTAAATTAAATAATTAATGAGTCGAAATACAGAACCACAGTAATGAGATTGAGATATTGAGACACTGGATTGTGGATTTGTTTGTTACCTTATGTCTCACATCCACAGGTTCTCAGAATGTGATCAATAATTAAATCTTTCCAAGACTGTTTACCAGTCAAGTGCTCAAAGTGGTGAAGTGACATGTGGCCAAGTATGGTGACCCATACTAGGAATTAGTGCTCTGCATTTATCCCATCCAAAGTGCACACACACAGCAGTGAACACACACACACCGTGAACACACACCCGGAGCAGTGGGCAGCCATTTATGCTGCGGCGCCTGGGGAGCAGTTGGGGGTTCGGTGCCTTGCTCAAGGGCACCTCAGTCGTGGTATTGAAGGTGGGAGAGAGCGCTGTACATTTACTCCCCCCACCTACAATCCCTGCCGGTACGAGACTCGAACCCGCAACCTTTGGGTTACAAGTCCGACTCTCTAACCATTAGGCCACGACTTCCCCCAAAGCTGCCCACAATAAACTGGATACTCTTTGCACGTGGCTCTATTGAGCTGAATGAGTCACACCACGAGTCTAGAGCATGTCCTACCCGTGGCAAACTTATTCTCCAGCTCTGTGTTTCCAATGGCCTTGGCTGCCTGGCACATCTGCCTCAAGAGCTCCTCCAATCTGCGCATGCAGCGGATAATACTGCCTGAGAAAGAGAGAGAGAGTTAGTTAGTCCTCCTCGCACTTACTACCTAACAACCACATATGGTCATGTTCAGTGCTTGTAACTCTTAGTTTCAATGTCCAGTTGTATTAGTGATGTTTATGAAACTTTTCTTGGCACATGGGGTTTTGCTGGCATGACGTTCTAAGATCTCTACGGAGACCAATTCAGTATTAGGCGAAAGGGGATGAGAGAAAGAGAATAGGGGAACTTATCCATTTTTCATATGACATCTCTCCCTCACTGCAATTTATCACTACAAGTGCTTTGCTGTTTGCTAATGCACATGAACGCAGCCAAAATCTCACTCAGGAGCTGGAGTGCAGACAAATGGGGGATTTTCTTGACAAGACATGAAATCTGCGTTTCAAAACACACGTCATGCTGCGGCCAAGGCCAAATCTCAGAGCAGAGGCTTCTGGGAGAAGATGTGCTGAAAATACATTTTAAATCCTTTTATTTCACAATAGGCCCCATGCTGCACTTATGAAGTCAGGACCAAATACATCATCACTGATTCCTAATAGTTTCACAAACTAATTACATTTGGTCATTTCTGGGAAACAGGAATGATATGAAAATAGTCTTTTTATAGTAGAATTAAATATAAGCCATTGTATGGAGTCAATATAATGCCACATATATATGCAAAATAATAAAGTTTTGCAAAAGAAAATAAAGTTTTGCAAACGATTTTATTTTCGTTTGCAAAACTTTTTCTTTTGCAAAACTTTATTTTCTTTTGCAAAACTATTATTTTGCATATATATGTGGCATTATATTGACTCCATACCATTGTCGGGATTTAGGTAATCAATCATCCATCCATCCATCTATCTAAGCAAGTGCATTAAATGTCATTTTTTTCCCTCCCCAGAGGAGCCATAACATGGACCAAACAACCACTATTAGATTGCAGATTCAAAATCTTTAAAATGTAAAATAAATAAAGCAACAAAAAAAAGTGTTACATACATAGGCATATTTTTCACAAAATGAACAAAAAAAAAATGCAAGTCTATGTACCAATATAACAATATTTAATAAATATCTTGCTACATAAACACTCATGAGAAGTGATTTACTGAAACCGATGGTCTAAGAAACAACTGGCCAACTGAAAAGTGCCTTAAAAATCACAGCAATATTTACAAAGTGGCTTCAATTAAAACATAAAAATATAAATATCTGATACATCAATTTGTTGCGAGATATGACATTTATTGCGAGAGAACTAGTACCTTCAAAAACGTCTGTCATTTTGCATATCTGAGAAAACGAGGAGCCATTGGCCCAGGTGTAGACCACATCCATCAGGTGCGGGCGGAACTGGTTCAGGTAAGTGTCCTCATCCACTTCCAGCTTGGCCTCTGCAGACACCTTAGCAATACGCTTGGCACATTCCTACAACCACAGCAGAGCGTGAGTCATTCGTGACGATACGGGATCAGTTAAGAAAAGATTCTAGATGCTTTGAGAGCTTATGAAGGTGACATTTCTCAGAGAACACATGGATTCAGAAGACTTATGGGGAACAAGATAAGGAAAAGAGCAGCTTGAACATTCTGCAAAATATCTCCTTTTGTGCTCCACAGGCTCAAAAAAAGGACAATTAAAATTTTTAAGTAGACTATTTCTTCTTAGTTTTATCAGTCCCTCCAGGATTCTGCGATTGCTGAATTTATGGCAAAATCAAGCAAACTCCGCTATTTTCGCAAAGTTTCGTAATTGCTGCAGATTTTCCGCAGATTTTGGGCTTAGACCATAGACTGTATAAAAACATGGACGTAGTGTCTGTGACGTCACCCGTAGGTTTCCGAAGAGCGTTTTTGAAGCCTAAAGTGGGTGGAGCCGGCTGTCGCCATCTTGGCAGCGCGTCACTCCCGGATGATCGAAAATGGGCAAAGATGCGGGAGCTGGTTGCTGAAACCACGCCCACCTAGCTCAACGCCAGTGACAGCAGCGGCAATCCACCTGTCACTCAAGTGGCCACGCCCTTAATTATGCAGAACTTTAAGGCTTAATATAATTTAAACGGATGAGTTATAAAAAAATTCACCCCCCTCACAGTTGTCATGAAGGGCAAAATTAGCTATATAGACCAAAACCACTTTTTGTACCAGGCTGTAAACTTTTTTTTCTGCTGTAAAGTTGGACATTTTAACATGGGGAGTCTATGGGACTGACTCCCTTTTGGAGCCAGCCTCTTGCGGCCAGTCGATGAATTGCAGTTTTAGTCACTTCCGTGTTGGTTTCACGAGAGAGGTTGCCGCTTGGCTTAGATGCGTCCCGTGACGTCATCGCAACACGGTGTTATATATTTTGCTTGTGTACTTACATTATCCCAAATGTTTCGAAGAATGTTTAAATCCAGAGAAATAAGCAATTTTAACTAGTGACACGGACCGTGTCTATAGTGTCATTGTGTTGCCTGCCAATGACGTCATAACCCCTCGATTTCCAGAACCGAAAACATGGAAACACCAAAGACGCTTTAATATGTTGTGCGTTTTAATAGACCGGTGACGACCGCACAGAGTAGCATAATAACAGAACTTTCAAACGTATCTAGTATGATAAAACAGCGCTGATTTTTTCCCCACATACGCACGACCGGAAGCCGCGCCTCTAGCGGCGAAAATTACATATTGTGCCTTTAATGCTACAGATATCAGAATAAATGCCACTGATGTGGAAACCAGGAAAAACATTGTTCAGTAAACACAAATCACCACCATTCACCATGGATTTAACATAGTAAAACTACAGGAACAACTTGTGGCAGAAATGGTCTAATGTTATCGAGTGTTTTTAAATGCTTCACACAACTTTCCCCAGCACTTTAAGTTTTACCGAATTTGAAAGTTATATTAAATGTGATGACGTTATTTGTTCATCCTTCATAGGTTGCCCCCATTTACAAAACTAAAAGTTTCATAATGTAGCAAAGCAAACACTTATTTAAAAATAAAAAATACATTAAATTACTAGTAGATGGCTGCAGAGAAGTACTTATAGGCTTATTAGCCATATCCACTCCCTAATATATATATTTTTGTATTTATTAAATTATATTTAGTCATTATGAATGACCGTAATAAAAGTTAATTTGATCTGCATCTCAACTACCCAGACAGCACAAGTACATCTGTAAGACGTCTGCTAAAGATCTGGGAAACATCTGCTGTGTAATCTGATAAACGTCTTAGAGACGTATTGCAGATGAGCAAACACTC